TTTTTCCACGAGGATATATATGTATTTTATAAGAAGAATAGGAGAAGTGATAATATGGTCTAACTAAAGGTGAAGATCATAACACTGCTCACAACCGATCGAGAGTGATCTGGTTTTATGCCACTAAGTTCGATATTTGAGCTATTTCTTTCATCACTTCTACAACACAAAGAAAACATATGGTGAAAATTCTATTTTAATTAAATTAAGAACGATTTCTCATGTGAATCTAGTTGAGTATTAATAAAAATATTGTCGAGTTTGTATCTGAAGTCTTAGAGAAAAACACGATATTGTTATGATAATAGATTGTAACAAATTAGTCAATCAGTACAATGAGTTTCAACACTTTTCTACGTATTTAATCTGACTCTGCAAACATTTTCAGAAATGCTCTTGAAGATAGAGTACATGTATGCCACTTGATGCACTCTTCTTTCTGAACTTAGCTATAATGCTTTTTAAAAAAGTTATTCGGAATGGGGGGGCTATGATTTTTATTTATTTTTTTGACATTGTAAATTCTTTTTGTATGGAATTTCTACTTCGCATCTTGTTTCAAAAAATGAATTAGAAATAATATACAAAAAGCTAACGTGTGAGATATCAGCGACTAGAGAAAAGGTATGCATTTTTTTTGCATGAACAATAATATACATGTTCTATTATTATTGATTTTAACCAGTGCGTTGCTACAGCGAAGGACATTTTTTAATCAAATACAAGAAAAATATGTAAAAGTACTGATGCTGATGTACAAATAGATTGTTTATCAATAAAAAAATACTTCATATTGACACGATATTAAATATGTACCTTACAAATATAAAAGAAGTGTTTCTCATCATTGATTTAAATACTTCTTAAAATATGGCTGTAAATTTGACCTCTAATTTTCAGATGTCTTCTCGCTTCTTAACTCTTATTGACTTTTCCTTTCAAAATAGATGTAGACGTTTTCGCACATGGTTTTTTCAAGGTCATCTTTCTTTAACAGTTTTTTTTTTCACCCGCATATGATACGTATATGTATATATATATATATCAAATTTGTTTTTTATATTTTATTATTCAGCAGGAAAGACCATTTTATATGTGATATAACATGACAAATAGACAGATAGAATCATTAATTATGCTCATAAGTACATCAAGGTAGCGAACATATTTATGTTATCTAACGTAGGGAAGGTGGAAGTATGAGAAAACGCATTTTAGCCACCCACTGCGATGCAGCAAATATATTGCATGCTTATATATTCTAATTTGAAAAAAAAAATGGTTTTTATTTTGTCGATACTATAAACAAAAAGACTTTTTTTGGTTTTACTAAAAAAATAAAAATAAAGAACGAAGCATGTGCATAGGATGGTGTTTTTGTATTTTTCTAATGAGCAATATAATTCTAAATATGTTTTTTTTTTTTTGTCATTTATCATTTATGCTACAAAATAAAACACAGAAGAGTGTGTACAAAATTAAAATAAGTAACAGAAATTTGTAATTATATATGCGAATAATAATTTTTAATAACTGTTTCAATTTTATTCTACTTAGAAAGTCTAAATTATGAGTAGAGAAATATCTATACAATATTTCAGACTACCGAGGACAGCTGACGCAACTAGCAATTACTTTTTCGTTCTATATGTCTACACATTGAAATTAAAAGCGTTTTTAAACACCAATTGACATTGATATATCTTTCTTTCAACTTTGAGAAAAAGCAATCTTCAAATTTGTTACTAGTGATGTTACCCAATAACTTTTCAAAATTCACTGTAAAAAAAGAAATATCGTTATAATTCGAATTTTTCTAGTACTCGATTAATGACGAGTCGTGGTCAGTTAGTAAAGCAAGTTTAGTATAGAGAGAGAGAGAGAGAGAGTACGTACAACTATCATCATTATCAAAGTGTTCCGTGTTTACTACTAATGAAATGGAAAGTTAGCGTCTTATCTAATGTTCATTTTTTTAAGGGATAATGATATGTATGTGTGTGTAAATATATGAATATGATTTTCGACAAGTCTTTCAATTATCATGTGATTATAGTACTGACTATTTTCATTTGCTCATATTATTGTGACGATCCATCAATAACTCCTCCTACATTAAATGCGATTATACCTCTTAACTCGACAAGTGTTAACGTAAGCTGGTCATTTGCTTCGAATAGTGTTGATCAATCAGATTTAATTCAGATATCAGTGATTTTTTATGAGTTAGCTTATGTTCAAAATAATACATATTACTCAAATCTAACATTAACATCAGCAAATAAAAGTTCGAATACTTATATCGTTCGTACGTTTGAACGCGTGAATACATACTATATGATCTGCTTCCTTGTAATTAATACAATAACAAATATCTCAAGAAGTGTTTCAGAAAGAACCTGTCAATTGACAAAAACATGTTTAAGAAATCAAACGTGTGTATCGATACCATCGTTATCGGTTAGTCAAACAGTTCGTACTTCAACTACGGTATCGATTACTATCGCTTGGCCTCTAGAACTTCCATTCACTACTAGTTTCATTGCAACATTAAACGGTCAAAGTCCAACAAGTAGTACTGTTACTACAAATGGAACAAATACTAATCTTGGAGCTCAGTTAAACACATATCAATTTACTGGACTACAACCGTCAACATCGTACATGGTCAATGCGACAACAACTTATTGGGTATATGATGTCTATCAAACCAATACAACAATTTTGACGGTGACAACAAGCAATTGTCACTTATTTTATACCAGTGAAAGAAATAATATCCTATACGTATGTCTGTTCCTATATATACCTCTTTATTTTTTCCAAAAATAAATTGCAGTGCAATAGTAACACAAATTACTGCAAATATTTATTTTTTCTTTAGATCTCTATTAATAATAACCTTAGGATTGATTTATTCCTATTCGACTGTATTAAAAATAGTTGTCAAAAATAAAACCATTAAGTCACTTATCTATTAATTGGTGTATTGGTATAAAAAAAAAAAGAAATGTCTCACTCACACGTCGACTTAGAACATTTGATTAACTATTTTATTAAAAAGGTGTTGATGTTTGTTTAAACCTTCTCACCTTTAGACAATTTCTCTTTATTCCATAGATTTTACTACATCACTTTTTTCTTTGTGTTTCTCAAAACCGACGCACAGTAGACATCCACGTGGACATTTAGTCAAAAAGTTGACTTGGACTCTTTCCAGTTTTGATTGGCAGCTCATTTAGTTGCATAACTTGACTATCTTTTTCTAAAATTTTCCTAAAAATTCGTTTTATAAATATTATTTAAATTTTTACTTTAGCACGATCTCAATAACAAAGCACAACTATTTTATCTACGTATAAACGAAAAAATGATTGAAATCGAAACTGAACTGAAAGAGAAAAAACTTATTTTTCTACGCATGTCGTCGGTATAATGAGTTTCACCCTTTTTTCCCTCATTTGTTTGTGTTCAAACTTTGCACAAATATTCTTCTATAACTATGGTTTTAGCACCAAATAGTGTCGTCCGTTCTGGCCATCATTATAGGTTTTCCAGAAGTGCGTGTTTTTTCAGATAAAAACTGTTTTTCTCACTCTAGGAACACTTTTAACAAAAAAAGATAAGGCGATATTCGGACTCAGCGTGTTGAGTTGCGTCGAATTATGTATAACTTAATAAGTTTTGGATCGAATATCCCTCCAGATTTTTTCCTATAAAGCAGCAAGACTGATTTTTCGAAAAGTGATTTATTTTCTGAAAACGTTGATTTTTATTTTTGAAAAACAGATGACTAAACAATGTTAATTAGTCATGAAAAAATGGTTTACGGACAAAAAATTCTGATAACCGCCTGCTGTTAGAAAAATGGTCACTGTGCGACGAATGATTTCAAAAATAAGAAAGCAAAAGATATTTATAAGTCCCACTCACTTTGGTGTAATGCACTCATCACATCAATGGCGTAACTAGAAATTTTTGATACTGGCAAGAATCCGCCTACTAAAGTAAAAGAAGAGAAAGTTCTTCATTTCCCTTAAATAATTTAACGTTTCACAAAAATGTCTGAAAAGAATTTAATTTTTCTTTTCGAACATTTTTTAAACAAACTACATGTTGTTCAACTGGTTCAGATTGGAATCGAGATATGAAAGTCTTTATCTCACCAATCTGTTTCTAAAGTGAAAAAGAGAAAAAATAGCATACAGACTACCTACTATCAGAATGAATAAACTCAATCAATTCAATGAAAGAAGGAGCTATAAACGTACATACATAATGTGCTCAAAATGTTGCTTTTACTTCCGGTCAATCGAACACCTACGCCAAATAATTGCAACAGCAAAGCGTTGAACTTGTTCAAAATTAGTAATTTAAATATGAACGATAACCTAATGACAGCTGGTGTGTTGAAACAAATATAATTTTCATGTTTTAATACTCTATTTAGATCTTATTTTTGTACTAATGAAAATTGTACATTTAAAACAAATTCTTTTCACAACACTTAGCGTTCAGCTAAAAAATTTCCTCTCTCTACCCTAAATTTTTCACTTTAGATCGTATGTCAACGCGTTAAAAAGTTCTTCTTGAAAAAAAATAAAGCTTTTACTATTGTTTTGTTTGTTATTTTTGCCCGTGAGCGCACTCGAATCATCTCACGTCAATTTACAATAAAGAATCAATACTAGAATCTATTCATTCATCTCAGCGCTAAATGAATAGTATTTTTTTGTTTCGAGGAAGAAAACTACAATAAAGGAAATATTTATACCAAAATTATATGAAAAGAAAATTTGAAAGAATATTAGAGGTGTTTAATTTATCTAGAATAACCAAAATAATAAAAACATCACACAATTGTGGAAAATAAAACAAGTTATTTTTTTTTTGCAAAAATGTGTACTATAGAAAAAATAAAAGACAGAAAAGACATTTTGAAAGACCAAAGATCATTTACCAGAAATGACTATTCTCCAATTAATTAAATCTACAATTTTCTAATGTTGAAGTGCTAATAATCGTCTATATTGTTTTTTTCCACATTTTTTTTTAAATTCATTATTATTAATCAACGTTAATTTATCATGATGATAACATGCACCCATATCTAATTGCATTGAAACCATTCGTTTTAATGGTCGTACAATAATATCATAAATATCATCATTTTGTTCAGTGTATTTTAATGAATGTGCAATACTTTCTATTGTTGACATTGTTTTTTCTGTTGGTTGAGTTCGAATAACAAATTCACTTCCTTTATCAATTTTTAAATAACAAGTTTTTAAATTAATCAATTCATTATGACGATTAAATATTCCAGTAGCTTCATTCCATGTACCATCAATGGCTACAAGTGTAATATGTTTATTTTTATAAAAATCTTCTTTTAATAATTCATCTAATGGACTTGAATTCTGATTTGGAAATAATAATAATGTATACGGATTATTATAGACTTGTTTCATACAAGGATATTTTGTTGATGAAAAATTTTTTGAACGAATAACATTTAAAGATTCTTTATCTAAACATTTTGTTAATAATTGAACAGTACCTAATGGACGTTTAATTTCATTGATATGTTGTAGAACATAGACTGTGGTTTGTTTTAATTTTAATGGTGTATCGGGTAAATGTGAACACAAACATGTTTGCACTGGTCGTTCACAATGTTGACATGTTGGACGTTTAATATTTTCAAATAATTGATCGTTTGGTGATATTAAAATGTCATTGAAGGTTGTTTGAAAAAATAGATCATCGTCTTCCATATCTCAGTGAAAATATGTTATATCTAAAATATAAGAAGAATGATGGATCAACGAATGAACACAATAAACAAATTTCAAAAACAAAACAAAAAAATGAAAACATGAAATAGATTTATTACAGAGCACTATTTCTAAGAGAAAATGAATGACTAAATATTTTTAGTAAACAAGAACGATTAATTATATTAGTTCGATATGATGAAGCTTTAAGTTCAACACTGTTTGTTAAATAAATGAAAAACAAAAACAATTTTAACAGTTGTCTACTACTCTACGACAATAAGTAATAGCTTATAATAATAATAGCTAATAATAGTAATAGCTTGTTTAGATTCAGCAAGTACTCCTAACTTTTCTGTCAATTCATCATATTCTGAAGTTTTCAAGCATAGAGACCAGCTCTACCAATATCGAAAAAATCTGAGTTTCTCAATAGATCTCAATGCTCAACAACTGCAACTGGTTTTTTGAATCAGCTTTTTTTACATAATGACATAAATTCTATTTCATCGTTGCAAAAACACCAATTCGAAATACCGTTCTCGTTCTTATGACCATAGATTAAAATATCTTTTTATTGTTAAAAATAATCGAATAAATTAAATTTTTGTTTCTCGAATGTTCTTTCAAAATTTTTTTCAAAATTATGTATAAAATGGAATTGATAAATTTTCTAAATGACAATTGACATGAACTGCAGAAAATGAACACGGTATATTAGACTTCATTTCATAGCATTATCTATAGAATTTCACCTATTGGGCATATTGGCCAACTGATATTCCATTATTTCATAGATGCTCAGAACCAAAGCGAAGGATCTAAATGGATGAGCTTTATCTCTACATTTCTTACAGTAAAGTACAGCCATATTTCTAGTCAACCCATACCCGTGCTAGTTTTTCTTCTTTTAATTTTTATTTTACTCTTTCTTTTTCTTTACTTTGTTTACTTGATATGTCTCTGCTCATTACTTTAGTTGTCTTTTATCACATTGTCTTTGCTATTTTATTGGCCCAAGTCACTGTTATTATAGGTCGGAGATCTTTGATGACTCTCACATTTCGTCAATAAATACTACTGCTACTGGATTAGTCACACACAATATTTCCGAAGTTTTTCTAGCAAAAGGCTTTTATGACAGTTCGAAGATGTATGTCTTCTCAAGAAACTCAACCAAATAAAAAAAGATTTATATGAAAAGTTTCACAATTTAAAATCTGAATGACGCAACATTCCTACATTATTTGACGAATTGCGGTATTTTTCTGCTTTTGATGGCCAATAATCGTCAAGTTTTCCCACGGAAATTTCATACGATCCATCATGTCCCTACAAAGAAACCTACGGACATGTACCTCTCCGTTTTCATCCATTCATACATCGATCGATAGAGGATATCGAGGTTGTGAAAAGGTAAAAAGGATTCGAGCCGATGGCTTTTCCTTCAGAAGTTATATGCATTTTTCTGTTTTTCCCAGCGAATAATAGCAAAAATAGAAAAATTCATATCTCCATCCAGAAACGTAGTTGAGAGCTCAAATTTATTTCTATGGCTCTTCTATATTTCTGTGATATTCACACAAAGTTTCACCTTTACAACACATTTCATTCCCGAGTTATTGATTTTCAAGTTTTCCATGGATTAGCCCTTTGATAGGCTCACAGTATAATGGCTTCCAAAATCGTTTGTTTTCTACTAGAACTATTGAAACTTTCATAAATGACATGGTTTTGATCGGCATACACAGAAAACTAATCGAAATTATATAACTTCTATATTTTGTAACCCCGGTTTTCAAGAAAGTCTCTAGAGATCTCAGCATCTACAGCCAGCCTGAGAAATCTTTTTTGTTTTCATAAACGAAATTAGACTACAAAACCATGTCATTTACGAAAGTTTCAACAGTTCTAGTAGAAAACGAACGATTTTAGAAGCCATTATATTGTGAGCCTATCAACGGGCTAATCTATGGAACACTTAAAATTCAATAACTCGGGAATGCAATAAGTTGTAAAGGTTATTTATTTTAAAATTTCCATTTTCTTTCAACAACAAAAATTTGTTTTCCTTCTCAGCGACCCCAGTCAAAGCTGGACTGGTCTCGGCTGTTCTGACAGAAGTACCTTGAAACTGACAGTTGTCTGTTGTCTAAATCAAAGTCAACTGTCATTATATCTCCCGTCAAAAATTATTAGACAATATGAGTGATTAAACTACTAGATGTTGCTTTCAAAATAATTTTCTTTAATACCTTTTGGTCACTTTTAGGTTAAAAATGATTCTTTTCTGAAATATCTTTACTTAGTTATGATGGAAATTGAAGTTGATTTCGCGAGAAAAAGCTTGTTCAAAGATGAATTGACGGGATCTTTCTGCTATTTTCGTCATTCTACGAGATCTCTGAATGGGCATATCTAGCCTCCATATAATGTGGGTTTTTGCTGATATTTGCAGATAATTTAGTAGAATTTCCTATCACTTTGTACGACTAACAGGAACCTATTCGCTTATTCTATTTATAACCTTTGGTTAGTTCATTAATTTCTCTGACAGTTAAATCACAATTGGTCTTCAAATGAACCGATCAAATAACACTTGTTGTTCTCTACACTAAACTATTAAACCCTGTTTCTCATACTCTCTTAGAAAGAACGCGACTTCAGATTCTTTTCAAGTAATTTGTAGTAGTAATAAATGATCTTATATTGTATTTTCCACATATACACAGGTTTATGACTCAGGAATGATTTGATTGGTTTAAATATAAAATTAGATAAACAACAAGGTTTCAAAAATTCGTCTTCATCAAACTAAAAATATGTCCAAATGTTCCTGGCTTCCTTTTCTTTTGACCTTTCTCCGTTTGTCACAATTAACTGAACATAAATAATATTCTACTTTCTGTTGTTTCTTTTGTTCTCTGTCTTGGTATTCTTGTTTCGCACGATCTGAGTGGAATGATCATGCTAGGGACGTTACCCTTGCTCATCGGTGCAAACTGGAGACAAGTCGTGCTTTTGGATTAGCTCCAGCAGAGATTCGGCGTCGAATTATATTTCTTCTATTCTTCCTAAAATTGATTATTGTTGTGCCTGATATGGTAGTTCGTTTTCTTTTTCTGTTCTAGACTCCGTAAACAAACTTGCTTCTCGTATTATCTTCTCGCAATTTTGACTACTGTTCTTCTACTTTACTTGTGTCTCAACTGTGTCTTCCAAATCTGTCATTTCATCGTAAATATTTTCGGCAGGTATAATTTTTCAAAATTTATCATCTTAGTCTTCTTTCTATTTTCCGTACTGTTGATTATTCTCATTATTCGTCGTTACCTTGCCATCATTCCAAATATGTTCGTACTTCACATCTTGTCAATGATTTTTCTCCACAAACCGTTTGGTTTCTTCTTTCTTCTTCTGTTGAACAGTTACTATCAGAATTAGTCATTCGTTCATCTTTATCGTCATACAAAACAGCTCTATCTCAGCATCTTTTATAGAAGAACTAAGCATGTCTGCAGTTATAAAATAAGCCTAGTGCTGTTACTCTTTTGTTATTTGTTTTTATTCTTTTTCATCTCTCTTCATACACTAGTTTCCTAGGTTATTTTTATTTTTCTATTTATAGTTGCTTTTTGTTGTTGTTTGACTTGAGTCATTGTTATTATAGGTCGATGACCTTTGATCACTCCCACTTTTCACGAATAAATTTAGTATTAGTCTTAGTCTTAAATGATGAAGAAGTAGAAAAAAGTCCGTAAGTGAATAAAAATTAACTACTTGCGTATATTTAACTTTCAACTGAGCTTCATTCCTCTGAAATAACTTTGTTGCTACAGGGCAATCATGTTCAGCACTTTTTCCTCTTTGATTATGTTCCCTGCGTCCAGAAATTTTTATTGGCCTTATTTTAAACGAATAACGCTGTTTTTATCATCGTGATAGGCCATTGTGTATAGCTTCAATCACTAATAGATCACTGGGCTTCGAATGTGAATGAAAATCGTTTTCACTGCTTTGCCCCAAGAACACGGACCTCACCCCGCTTAATCCAGTACAAAAGAGAATATTGTAGTGACAATCTTTACATTGGTAAACAAACAGAAACGACATGCTTTATGAATAAATCTTCTTTTTATACCGTCATTCAGAGATTTGTAGTGAGCTCTTTGAATCAAATAAAATTTCATTCACTGTCTCGATTAGTCTTACTCTTTTCGTTTTTTTTAATTTTTGCATTTTGAAATTATCTTCTCAGATGATTATGAAAGTTCCTTGTAGCATAAGCATATCATTTTCAGGCGTTAGGTGCCTTATAAAGTTGAGCTCAGATCTACATACGCACTAGCTGAGGGAAAGTTTTTATACATAACAAACAAAAACGATGAGTAATATAGTTAGCTGTGGAACGAGCCCCGTTCTCTAGTGGAAAATAGACATGTGCTGTTTAAACCAGTACAATCACAGTTCTGTCATGATTCTATATATTTTGCATGGTATCGATGAGTCAGAAGATATTTGTTCTTCATTTCGAGAAAAATTGCTTTTGTTGGCCTATTTACAAACTTTTTGCACTGTATTAAAGGAAATTGAATATTGCATCATTATTTGACAAAGTCATATTTTAGTTTTTTTAGATTCCTATTTTCACTGTAAAAATGACGCTATTTCATTCAAAAGAAATCGCTGCCGAGCTTCTTGTATAAATGAGAAAGTTATAAGAGTTTTGTTGCATTCTTTTATTAAACATAGTATAGACGATTTATTTTCTTTTTTCATAACGGTTTATTAATCGTTTCCAACTTATTGTTGGATTTTTTTTCTATTGTTTACTTTTTCGTTCTTTTCATGTATCACGCCCAGATGATTTCATCTTGCATTTTTTTTTCCGTGCAGAAATAAACCGTCATGTAAATAGGAGACGCGTCTAAAATTATTCTTTATATAGAAAAATTCTTTGAATTTAAAAAGAAGAATACGCTGAGGTTAAAAAAGAGAAAGTATAGTATCAATATTAAGATATGTGATGTCGTTGAATGCTGATAAAAAAAGGTGTATATATATAGTTATTAAGTTAACTACTGTATGCTTTAGTGTTTTCAAAAGTGCATTCAGTATTTTGATTCTTCATTTTAAAAACAATCAAGAAAGGAAAGTACGCGAGACATTTCCTTAAGAAATCGATTCCGTTTCAATTTTTTTTCTCTACCTAGAATATATAACTGATCTCTAAGAAACTGTTCCCCATTTCAGTCGAATGATGCATACATCTTTCAAAATTTTTCGTTGATTTTCAGTTTTCGGTGAAAATTTCAGTAATTGTTTGACATAAAACTTCAAAAAAAATTCAAATGGTCGAATAGAACGAAAAAGTACATTATTCGATTCATTTTTTTTTCAGCTGATTCTGAATATGATATTTGTAGTGCGTAAAAGGTGAGTTCTGATGAAGAAAGTTACAAATTACAAGCAGCAATTTTGATTTTTTTTCACACCTGTAGAATAGAAACTGTGCCAAGTACAATTTATTTTTTTTGAGTTACATACCATTTTGTAGGTCTCTTCAAGATGCATCTAATGATATATGATATGACACAAAGTGGATAACAGCTTTGTCTTCATGGAACAGTTAAATCATAGTTAACGTGTGTGACTATCATCATATATAGTGATCGGTATAATCGATATAAAAGAACAATATTGTAATCATTTTTCATAGTGTGATATACCAATCAGTAGGTCTCTTCAGTACCTACCTATCAGCCTATATGTAAACTATTATCAGAAGTTGTTCCTGAGTGGAGAAAAAAACGGAATACTAATTTATGTACTATCACGTTGTCTGAAAATTTAAAATGACTATATTTTAGGCAATTCTTGATCTGTCAGGTGGATTCAAATGGAAAAGTTTCTTATAGATCAGTTATATATTCTAGATAGAAAAATAAAAAGAGTTTTTGAAAGAGCTTTTTTTTGATAATAGCGCACACTGCTTTACTCAGTTATAGCTGTTATTGGGAACCATGCTTCATATTTCTAAGTTATTATGCTCAAAATCAAGCGACGAGTAATAAACCTTCATTTTACTAGTTCAAATTGTTTTTTCAATGCGTTTGTTTATGTTTTTACTTCATTTCAGATTGTAAAATCTTCTCTGAACTGATTGCTCTTCATTATAAATAGTTTAATTTCTTTTTATCTTCAATAACATTTAATAAATATGTCTGGAGGTCAAATGAAACGTATTATGATCGAGGTTAAAAAACTTCGAGATATACCACAAACATTTATTCTTGAAAAAGCACCAGATGAAGATTCATCAAAAGTAACAAACACACGTACAGCATCATCATCGGCTGATTCAACATCAAATATTATTATTGGCCGTATATTACCAAAAAGTGCTCCCTATTCACAAGGTTCATATCAAGTTGAGATTAAAATTCCAGCAGACTTTCCATTTAAACCACCTGAAGTAAAATTTTTGACACAAATATATCATCCGAATGTGGATAAAGAGGGTAATAATAATAAAAACAAAAAAATTATTGCTGTACTAAAAAAAAAAATACATTTTCTTTTAGGTAAAATATGTGTTGATTTATTAAATACTGCAGAAGCTTGGAAACCAACAACACCAATCGTTGATATTGTAAATATTCTGTGAAATTTTTCTAACTTTTTTTTATTCATATTCTTCTTTTTATTATTTAGGTGAATGCTGTTATTAAGATCATTGATGATCCAAAAATTGATCATGCATTGAATGCTGAAATTGCCCAACAATACCAAAATAATCGAGCTCAATTTATTAAAACAGCAACAGAATTTGTTAACAAATATGCATTACCAAGAACTTAGAACAAAAATTATGGCAATTTATTTTTTATGTATTAAAAGACACGAAAGTTATTATTTCAACTTTCCATTTCTCTTTTTCTGATGTATTGTACTTTCATGTCTTACTGTTTCGTCTGTATTTTTGTTCTCGTTTTTTTTTGTATGTATGACTACTATGCTGGTTCGAAAAAGAAAGACGAGTGGTATAAATGAGCAGAATTTACACTTACTGATGGATATCTTGCAATGGAAAATTTTTGAATGTTTAGTAAACTTCTTTAAAAGTAGAAACTCTTTGTAATGCAAGATTTGTGAGCATGTTTGTTTGACATATTTTTAATCAAGATATATCCTTTTCTGTTCAATTTATTGAACTGCTTTTTCTTTCGATAGTGCTTGTCCTTTTCCTCTATGGCGACTAAAAGCGGTTCTCTTTATGTTCTTCTATCCTGTTCAATGAGTCTAATATGTTGTTGATCCCGGGAGACGTGTTTGATTAAATAATTGATATTGTTGCTCATTTTTTGTTCATTGGATAAAAACGTGATTTTTCTATTTTTATCTATACCTTTATTAAAACAAGAAAACAACTTTTCCTTCTATTTTTTGCGTATGTTAACGTTGCTCTTATTGTCTCATCGTTGACATTGTGAAAATAAATTAAACAAATGTGTCCGGTTACTTGACGGTGATATGAATAAAGAGTTCTTAGTGATTTTTTTTGCTTGTATGGCAAACAAAACTTTTGTAGTTTAAATAAATAAAAAAATAACTGGAATTTAACTGGTGTATTGTATTGTGCAAGGATTTTATATCTTTCCTCCTCGTTGCTCATATTCGGATGAAAACTAATGTGCGTGTACTTTTTACCGATGGAAAGAACGTTTACCAGGCACTTGCTATAATATCAGCTAAAGACGTATTGCACTTGTGTCGCTATTTCAGCTGCCATACGCTATTAGTTGTTCTTCTGATATCATCGTTTTCAAAATGATAAAAATAAACTTGAATAAACTTTTAGCAGTTTTATCACGAATACTCAGAAAAAAGAAAAATGTCATAGAAAAGTACTGTTTTGTAGGTTGGTAAAGATTTTTCACAGTCTATCACCTGAAGATGAAATAAATTCATGCTAAATTGTTATTGTTTAATGAAACAATTCAAATTTTTTTTAATGATTTCGCAATTTTTTCAACTGCTTTACAATTCTGAATTTGATTCATTTCGTCTTTACAATGCTTATAAACATTCGTCTCTAAAATTTTGTTTTATAAGACCATTAGACAGGACTGTCTTGAGCTGTATTGTATTGGATTGAATTGTCAGTGTAATCAACTGTTAAATCATTGATATATTTATGCTAATATTTGAAAAATCGGATCGGGCACCGAAATCCATTCACATTGTTTACATAATATTACGAATATCGAATAGTTGGATTGGAATTAAACCAAATGTCGTTATAAAATTATATATTGACGAAAAAAATTAGACAATATCAAGTTTCCCATTTGGATATCAATGTTTTTAGCGACTATTTATAATAGAAACTTTAGTATTTTGTTCCATACCGGATGTAAACACTTCGTCTACTAAAATCGAATGGAATACGTGGTGTAATAGAAGCAAATAAACAAATTTGTTTGTTTCAACCTGTTATTGAATATGTGTAGATAGATCATTATCGTCATTAACTGTTAATTTATTACAAGATTGTATCTGATGGGATCCTGCTGTTACATTACTATATCGTTGATTATTCCAATTTTAGCCGAAATTGACTATGTTTAGAAAATCACAGAATTTATGGATAATGCGCGAGAGTGCGGAGACAAATTTAAATTGATTATAAATTATCTTGATGATATGAAAAATGTCTACAAATTTGTTAAATATGAATACAAGTATTTGTGTAAAAAGATGTAAGATTGAAATGATTTTATCGAAACGGTTTTCTTATAATTTATTTATTATAGTTATCTTTTTTAAATAATCATGATAAAAATTTAGATAGAACCAAATAGAGTAATAATTAGTTTTATCTTATTCACTTAATATCACAAATAGTTTGTAATTATATTTTCATTATTTTCCATTCAATATGTTTCTTCTGTGAATAAAGAACATGATAAAAACTTTTTAAACATTAAGTCATATGTTTTGTTTGACATACGTTTATGAATACTTTAAATTAATTTACTTTATTTTAGATGTCAGCTAGCAGTAGACATTGTTCTGTTCGTCTTTATAAAGATTTGGTATTAATTGATGAAACATTCTCTAGTACAAATTTATTTCATTTAAAACGAAGACCAAACGTTGATACTGCAACAGCCATGGCTGATATGGACATTACTCATCCAATATTCGTATATAGGCCTCAACAAGCTCCCTATGTTGGTGGGGAATTTGAAGTTGAATTCGATATACCTATCGATTATCCACTGGCAAAACCAAAAGTTAAATTTCGAACACCAATTTATAGTCCAGTGATTGAAGAATCAGGAGCGTTATGTCTCCCATTATTAACTAAATGGTTACCAAATACTCGATTACACGAAATTTTAAGTGAAATTGATTATTTTATAAATCATTTAGATGATGTTGATGAACCAATACGCCCACAATTGTTAAATGAATATCGTAATGATCGAGAAAATTTTATGCGTAATGCCGAGCAAAAAACAAAAGAAAAAGCACAACCTCAAAAACATTAAAAAATCAAAATTTTAAGAACATATTGATGTTATAATATTCTATAGTCATTTGTTTGTGTATCAGTATTTATTTCTTCATTACAATATCATGATTTTATCCTCCACTAAAACTAGTCGTGTTTTTGTCTCTTCAGTCTTTGATAGCACATCAAAACACACATCAGTTATAAGAAATTCACAAATAATTATTCGTTTAATATTTTCGTATGGTTGTTTTATTTCATATATTGTTCGTATTTGACTGTCAACATTAATATAAATAATTGTGTCAATAAAAATCTATTGATAAAAATGAATTACTTATAAAAAATTTCGTATGTCCGAAATGTCGAATACCAAATTTATACACATATATGACTCAAATTGTAAAATTTTATTTAAAAATATTATAAAAATCTATTACTTATATGATATCAACAATGAGTATTCTATTTAGATTAAAGAACTTTTGAAGTAAAAAAAAGTATAGGTCATGGGTAACAACAAAAAAAAAAAAAAAATGTAAAAATAATGCTTTAACAATAACATGTAAACTTCTTTTTCGTTTTGTTTAAACAATAATATAACAAAATACTCATTGCTCACTTTTTTTATACTTCTTATTAACCAATTAACAATTCTAAAATCTTCTATCAGCAGTATTACGATCTTGACTAGCATTCTTTAATTAAAAAGATTGTTTTTGTCTTATTTCAGATGAAAATGGACAGTGATTTGTCGTATGATACAAATCCAACATCTTCATGGCGAATGTTCAATAATATTACTTATAAGTGAGCATAATCTATCTATCGTTAAAATCAGTAATTAATATTAAGAAATTATAATTTCTAGAAAGATTAAAACAAGTCATATTAAAAATTTTTCGAAAAACGTTGAAAGACTTGGTAAAGATGAAAAACAATTTGTTGCAATGGCTCAGTTTGGTGGTCCTATTGGTAAGAAAACTCTACTTTCTTTCTCTATTTTTTTAAAAAGTAAATATATATTTTTTTTCTTTTTTAGCTGTTGTGACAAAACGGCAAGGTATGTCACCAAACGATATTAAATATAATATAACAATTATGAATTTACCTCGAAATGAAGAAAAATATAAGGAGGTATTTTATATAAAAAATTCAAAATTGTGTAAAATTTATTAACAGTTAAAAATACTGTTTAGTTTAATCGTGGTATTATCGTCTCTGTTGATTGGACAGTGAAAGAAGATTTGTTGTTGGTAACTGAAGATGGTAAATATCATATAATTGATATATTCTATTATAATAATAACAATGATAAATCAATTACATTAAGTGAGGTTAGTACCGGCATCAATTAGTGCGACTTTCATTTGATTATTAGAGTTGTTGTTGTTGTTGTTGTTTTTTTATAGTTTGTATCGCCTATCAGTGAAGTGAGAATATTAAATACCAAATCTAGAACTGGATTAGTCGCACTTAAAGCAAATCAAGAAGATTTTATAGTTATTAAAAATGTTTACGAACCCGTAATTCAAACAATATCAATAATGAGTATGTTTGTTTAGGAATATATCAAAGTGTAACTCTGACATTTGACTATGATATACTGTGTCTGGTCGAGTTTGACACGCGCTGATTCTATATATAATATTTTTAGGTGCTATCGTTACATCGTTGCTTAGTTAAAGTCTATTGTTTGCTTCTATAGTTGATAAACATTCGATGTTCAGTCTATCACAGTTTTTATTAGATACGTTGAGAAAAACTCGTGCACTATACAGTTTTACAAAGAAATTCTTCAGCTACAGTCTGATATATTTGAACGTAGTTTTGTGATTTATCGTGTTTGAGAAAAAATCTATTCTATCCAACTTATGTCTTTTTACTATACAACATGATGTTTTTGCCTCAGTGTCTCAGCGAAGAAAAACATAATAAGACACCTCTAATTAGTCCAGTTTTAGAGAATTAAAAATATTTTATTTTAATATATTTCACTGTATATTGAAGATCCACATAAATTATAGTTTCTTCAAGCATAGCAACATACATAACATACAGTGGAATCTCATTCAAATGTCAGAGTTACACGTTGACATGTTCCCTATGAAGTAAAGACGTTTGATTAAACTTTCTTTTTCTATCGCTTAGGTGGTGATGCACGTTCAAATTTAACAATCACAGCTTGGTGTATTATTGATCATACCGATATAACAATAGCTTATGCATGCGACAATACGATCTATACATGTAGTCAAAGTAGTTCAAAAAAAGATCAGGTAAGATAAAAAGTAGATACACAGCTACTAATAGAAACTGATTGTTATTCGGATTATATTTTTAGCAACAGATATCTGGTATTGGTGATACGATAATAAAAATCATCCCATCGTTTGATTGTCAAACAATAGCTCTGTTAAAACAAAGTGGTGACGTTTTAATTGGATCAAAATCATTCACTAATCCATTTACATTAAAATTTAATGGAAATAATGAGAAAACACGTATAACAGATATCGCATGGTTAATATTTGAACTTTAAAATCTATAGTTGTAATTATAGATTTTTTTTTTTTTTTTATTGAAGGTGTGGAAATGATGCCATTATTGGTATACGTCCAGCATCAGCAGCGTGGTATGATCTATTTATACTCGATAGTGACAGATCAAGAGCAATAACGTATGTTTTTTACCTACTTTATAAGTTCAAATTATTTGTGTTTGCTGATAAAAACTAATAATTTGTTTTTACAAAGAATTTGCTTGAGACTACCTCTTGCGTATTTTGAGTTAAACTATTGACAAGAGATGTTTTTTCTTTGACGCGTTTAGACCAACAATTCGAGAAACAATTATCTCTGACACGTAAGTAAAATGTTTTTCGTAACTTTATTACACACATCTTCCATTTGGCTTGAACCAAAAAATAAATGGTGTGATGAAAAGTGAAAATGATTTAGTTTTTAATCAAATGTATGATGTATAGAGATTAACTTAATATCAATTTTCATAGATTTTATTACACAACCAATGTTTGGTTATTTTCTGAACTTGATGGTGTGCGAATATTATCCGGTGATACATTAGAATTTTTTCAACGCGTACCAAAGGAATTATATAGTGTATTACAAATCATATCCGAAGAACCTGGTGCACAATTGTATAATGCCTATATTAATTTCGAAGTAATTCTTAGTATAATTTTCGCATATTGTAATTGCTTTTATCTTTTAAATATTTTTATTTCAGTCTGGAAATCAATTAGCTGAAATGCTTTTAACTCGATTAAAATCATCAAAATATACAAATGGTATTGAAGAAGCTGTTCGACAATGTACAATTGCAGCATCAAATGAAAGTCAACCATCAGTGCAAAAAACGATATTAAAGGTAAACAAAAACTAAATTAATCTATTCTAGGATAATAATGTATCCTTTAGTTTATATTTGATGATGATTCTCTTAGTTTTAGGCTGCTTCACTTGGACGATCATTTTTATCTGTAAATTTGAATCCATCTACAAATGTTGGATCAAAACGAGAGCCATCGATAAAATTACAAACAAATAATTTATTTCCAAATATCATCATGTATTTACATTTGATTAATAATCTTCAACATATGGCCATATCATTGCCAATTACCTATAAACAGTATCCTTTTTGTTTTTCTTTCTTTTTTCTCGGAAGACAAAAAAATAATTTTCAAGTATCATTACCAAAATATTTTCATTAATAGTTAAAAAATAGATTTGATTATCTTGGTGTTGAAATATTGATTAATCGTTTGCTTCGACGTAATTTACATGAGTTTGCAACAAAAGTAACAAAATTTCTTAAAGTACCAGCAGATGAAGGAGAAAATCGTATATTAGTACAATGGGCTGTTCAGGAAGTAATTAAAAATTATTTATGTTCAATGAATATCTAAGAATAAAATTTTATTTATTTTAGATTAATAATCCAATTAATACAAATGAGGAGACAATTGCTGAAATAATTAAAAAGCGTTTATCAAATGTATCAGGCATACCATTTATTGAAATAATTCGTGAAGCATTTATTGCTAAAAAAATAATTGTTGTCAGACGGGTATATTAAACTATGATCAATAATTTGAGACTATTCAACTATCTTCCATTCATTTATAGTTGTTGGATACCAAAGTGCCTGTTAATGATCAGATTGATATATTATTAATATTAGGTGATAAAAATGAAGCACTTCAACGAGCATTGACATGTGGAAATAACGATTTAGGTAAAATAAAGTTAGATAGTTTGTTTTGTATATCTTAACTCTATTTTTATTGTTCTAGTTCTTTATGTTCTAATGCGAATTAAAGCTGATGAATCACCTACCGAATTTATGATGAGATTAGAAAAAATTAGATCTCTTCCTCTTAGTCTACATTTACAAGTAAGTTTTTTTTCTTATTCAATGTCAATAAAGTGATTTTGTTATTGTTATCTCTTGTCTTGTTTTTCTATAGTGTTTAGAAGAAATTGAACGAAAAAAATTACATACTGATTTAATTAAGAAGAGTCCAAATGAAAAAGAAAAAATAGCCTATTCTTGTATTATACAACGATTTGGTTCTCCTGTAACTTGTTCTCTAATCTTCTCTAATTGTATCTATATTCTTTGTTTTTTCTTATTTATCAGCAAATTCAAAATCAGAAAACTGAATTATCAAATGCATCAAAATTATTTAAAGAAGTTAAAAATGACTTTATTGCTCATGTAATAAAAATTATTTATATTTACTCTAAAATAAAATATTATATAATTTGTATTTAGCTTGTTGATGATGAACAACGTTTAATTACACGACAAGATGAATTAGAAAAAAAAATTCTAAATTCATTATTAAAAGGTTTATCATTATGTGCAACAATCGAACAATTGATGATGAATAATGAACGAGAAGCAGAACAATTAAAGAAAGAATTCAATATGCCCGATAAACGGTAAGATCGATAATTGACGAGAGAAACAGTAAGAATTTTAATGATCTCTATCTCTGTTTCTAGTTATTGGTGGATAAAAATTCAAGTTCTTGCTAAAAAAAGTGCATGGTCATCATTAGCAGATTTTGGTAAAAAACCATCATCTCCAATTGGTTATGAGGTACAATTTTTAATCTTTTTTTTTCTCAAATAAATTTTAAATCTATTGATTAAAATTTTCTTCTAGCCATTTATTGATATTTGTTTAAAATATGGAAAATTGGAAGAAGCAAAACGATATGTTGATAAATCATTATATAGTTCAAAATTAGATGAAGATCGAGTACCCTATATGTATGCAAAAGTTCAGTAAGTTATCAGAATTATCGTTTCATTCCATACTTTAAAAAGGGCAACTATTTTTTTTTGCTCAATAGTTTTTATTGAATGCTAAGTTAATTTTTGTTAATTCTTGCTTTAGTAAGCTATACTTTTGTATGTCCAGGAGCAGTTATGGGGGGGGGGGGGGGGGGGGGGGGGGGAGGGGGGTGGGGGGCGGGGTGGGGGGGGGGGGGGGGGGGGGGGGGTGGGGGGGGGGGGGGGGCGNCCCCCCCCCCCCCCCCCCCCCCCCCCCCCCCCCCCCCCCCCCCCCCCCCCCCCCCCCCCCCCCCCCCCCCCCCCCCCCCCCCCCCCCCCCCCCCCCCCCCCCCCCCCCCCCCCCCGGGGCGTGGAGGACATGAGAGTGAGCCGCTAAACCATATTTCTGCAAAAAATATAATTATTTTTGATAAATTACTTAGAAAAAAATAACTTTTTACTTAGAATTTAATAAAAATTACATAGAATTTAAATGGGAATTTTTAAAAAGTATCAAAAAAACTGTTAAAAGTTTTTTAATTTGAAATACTAATTATATTTTTTCTAGAATGTTTGAAGAGGCAATTAATTCTGCTGTCAAACTAAAAGCAAGTGATGCATTAATGTTTATTGAATTAAAATGTGGTGCAGGAAATGCAAATATAATGCAGAAAGTGGATGCTGCTAGAACAAAATTACAGCAATATGATGATAATCCATTTAATGTAGTAAGAAATATATTTAAACATAACGAATGATCATCTATTTATTTTCATGTTTTTTTTTCTTGTGTAATGTGATATTTGTTATTTCTTTTATCTTTTTTAATAATTTATTTATTAATTTTTTATTCGATCGATTGATTTCGTAGAAATTTTTCCGTAAAAAAAAAAACAACAGACAAGAAAGTTTCAATTTTTCTTTGATAAATATCGATGAATGAAAGAAAATAATAGATAATGAATACGGTTGTTTTAAAGTATTGAGAGATTAAAAATCAATTCTTTTTTTTTAAAATTCTCATTTGTCGAATAGAAGTAGTTTTAGCACTACGTATATTTGGGATACTTCAATATCAGTGAAGTTTTAGTATAAAATCATCTTTAGACTGAAATTTGTAGTAGAAATAAAGCGAAAAATAACAACAGTAATAGCAGACTGGTTAAGACTAATTGAAAATAGATGATAATGGAAATAATAGATAAAACAGAGATTGTAAACTAAAATATTCTTTAATGATTAAAGTGTGTATGTGTGTGTATGTGTGTATGTGCGTGTGTGTATGCGAACAAATAAAAAGCTTTTTGTGTGTGCTTAAGCACAAATTTAAATAAATACTGTAACATATATAAAGAGACTACATAAAATATAAAATTAAATGATATATACATTACATCAATGCATTCACATATATAACTAAACTAATACTAAGTTAATAACATAACAATAGATTTGATCGTAACTTTGAAATATTTTACTAATTTCATCTATATTAACGGCTAGAAATGGTTGTACACCATTTGAATGAGAAACTTATTATTTACTGTTCATATACAAATTACTGGAAAAAAAATGTTATCCATTTAAAATATACCACTCCACAACCATCGTAACCAGGAAGTATTGTACACTTGCTTTCGTTTATCTTGTTCATTTTCTGTTATTATCTGTTGTGAAGTGGCATCAACATTCATAGCTATAATCAATTCTAAAAATAATGAAAAATAAATAAAATAAAATTATTGAGACATTCATTTAACCATCATCGAACAAACCTTGTACACTTAAACGTTTATTATCATCGTACAATAATAATCTATCAACAGTATTTTCAGGATTCTTTATTTGTAACAGATATATTAAATTTGTTATTCTAAAACAAAAATAAATTTGATTTATTCTTCATTTAAATCTTAACTCTTATCATACTGTTCTTTCGTTAAATAACCATTATTATCAGAATCAAATAGTTTAAACCATAATTCAATATCTTTATTTGTAAATCTACCAGATGTAATCGGAAAAAGAACGTCACAAAAATCATCCCAAGTAATTGTTGGCTTATTATCTAAAACTAGTTTAATCATGTTAACTATTTTTACTTTATATTTATGTTAGAAAATAGATATATACCTGTTCTATCGGATGTTTTTTTTGATTCAAAATATATTTGTAATTTTGTTCGTAATATATTTTGTACATTTTCGTCTTTTAACTTAATTCTGTTTGCTAGTTGATTTGCTAATAAATCTGTGACTTCTAATTCAGCTGTGTTAATATCAGCTCCTAAATCTTTGTATAGTCGTCCTAAAGCTATAAGAGATAAAGAGACATGTAATTATCATGTTTTGTATTAATTAATACAGACATTGCATTCGATCCTTTTCATCGATATCCTCATTAAAATTTATCTGCTGTTGTTGTTGTTGTGTAGAAGGTTTAATGCGCTCCAAAAGATCATTCGATGATAATAACTCTTGTTGTTGCTGTTGTTGATCATTATCATGTAGCACTGGTACGTGTAATGATATTTGTTGGATACTAAAATAAGAAGTTAAAAAACCGTATAATAGATCGAGAATGAGCACCATTAAACCCTACTATTGCTCTTCGTCATCATCGTCATTAAATTCAGACCACCATGATTCGTTTGTGACTTCGTTTGATAAATAGTTGCCTTTGGTACTATCTAATTCTTGTATTGCTGATATCAGTTCTGAAGCATAAGACAACATTCAACGCTAAATTTAATTGATTTTTTGGTAAAAATGTTACCATCAACACTCAGATATCCATCATTGTCCCCGTCAAACTGCTGTATTATATTATTTGCTGTAGAATTTGGATTATCTATTTGCATTAACCGCAATAAATCTAAAACAAATATTGTTCAATATCAAAAAGGATTCTGTTTCTCTCTCATCTCCAAATGGATGCGACTGTATACCTCCAATTTCTCCTTTTGATAAATATCCATCTTTACTTGTATCAAATAATTCAAATAATTTTCTTACATGTCTATCCATATAGTGTCCTGTTAAGATAGGAAATAAAATATCCCGAAATTCATTCCAGTTTAATGTATCTGGACGTTCTAAAATTAAAATCATTCAATTGATTTGCATTTCGTTTTAATTCTAATCTCAAACATACCTCTATCAGACGCAGCTTCTGCTATATATTTTACCAAAACACCTTCAAACAATGTTTGTAGTAGATGATTTCTCATTTTTAAACGAGATAACAATCTCTTTGGTAATTCATCGTTTATTTCAACAATATTATCGTCATTTGTCAAATCTCGAAATATATTACGAATTGCTGAAAGAAAAAAAATTCTTTTCTAATTTCGTCCTAATTTAATTCAAAATCTATTTTCAATACTCACCTTCTAACGTTAGACCTATATTATCTTCATCATTCACGTCTGTTTTCTCTTCTGAACTTTCCAATAACTGATGTTTAGGTGGCGATTGTGATGATAGTTTTTTCATAATCTGCTGATTTTCATTTAATTCAGTATCATCTGATGAGCGATTACTTCTTTTTTGTTGACTATCATACTCATCATCAGTTGAATGTTGAAGATCGTTAGTATGTTGCACTGTTTGAGATGTGTCCAACCATGATTTTGATACATCTTCTAAAGAATCCCCTAATGACGATGAACGTTGTGCTCCCTCCTCTTCAGTATAGTGTTTCTCTTCTCGTTGGTATCCGAATGAATCCAGTTCGTTACTATTCGATTCTGACTGAATCGATTGAGGAGGAAAGTGTGCTGATTTAACTGTTTTTTCAATTTGATCGGTAGTACCAATAACTGGTGCTACTTGATGATCAAAATGGGAGACTGAGGAGAAATTTCCCTTCTCCTCATTGACATTTAACATGTTAAATTTCTCGTCATTATATTGCGGTTTCTCAAATAAAGCAGATGTCATCAATAAATCGGCTTCCGATTTATTATTATCACTTTGTTTATCATCCATCGAACTTGTCTTGGGCATGTCTTCTTTTTGTTTGTCAGCATCAATTTCCATGGAATCCATGGAATCATTGTCAACTGTTAAACGGTCTCTGTAACTATAATTGCGATGTGGGGACGACGAATGTCGTTCGCGTGTATTCGACGTTGACGTTTGGCTGACGTCCGAAATCGTATCGTCGATGTTTGTAGATTCATGTTGAGATGTTGAGATACTCTGAAATATGCCAGTCGTGCTTGTATTCGTATCAGATGATTGCTGCACTTTATATGGGTTATGATCTTCTTTCCCAGATGTGAATACGTCTTCTCTACTATTACGCGCGGAAGTGTTTGCCTGTTGTTCAGAACTGGTGAGAGATTGTTGCTCATTCTTTTTTATCAAACTTTCGTTACTTACAATAGTTTTTGACGGCGCATCGTCGCTTCCGCTAAATATTAATTGCTTCTCATTATTTGGAGATTGCGGAACAGAGCTTTCAATTTGTTGTTGTTTCTGTTCGTTTGACGATGCCGTTTTTGATAGATCCTCACTTTTACTAGATGAAAATTGTTCTTTATCGTCAGTCGGAGTTTCAGGTGGAGATTGCGGAGTTGATCGTTCTTGCTCTTGATTATATGATGTTCGCATATCGACAGAGTATGATTTTACATTCTCTTCCTTTCCTTCACTTTGTTCATTTTTTGGTTTGGGACTTGACGGTGGAGATGTTTTATTTTGCACAATATCTCTGATGGTTAAGGGATCGTTTTCTTTAGCGATTGGTGAAAATTTATAGTCGTTGATCGTCTCTGTTTTTACTGGAGACTCTAAATTTTGCTCAGTTTTAGAACTAGTTAGGTAACTTTCCATTTTTTGATCTCTAAAAGATTCTGTATCAATGTTCTGTTCTTCTGTTCCATCTTGATCGTCGATTGTCGACGTTGAACTTTTACTTGAACTCGCGATTGGAGATTTCTAAGATGGAAAGGAAACGATCTAACTCCTAGTACCAAGCAAACTCCTCTTTCTTATCCCTCCTATCTCCTCTTACTTTTGTTTGTTGTTCATATGCATCGTTAATAGTTTTTTCAAGTACTTTGAGATCTGCTTCGAGGTCATTTACTGCCCCTTGAGTGTCTAATGGACTTTGTTCTTTTTCTTGTGTCGTTTGATTTTCGTCTCCAAGTGATGATGATGTTGATATTCTACTAGATTCTACTTCAATTGGTGTTTGTTGATTGTTTGATGTACTACTATGCAAAGTGCTCCATGGTGATTTATCTATAATAGGCAACAAAAAGAAAGGCACTTAGTCATATTTAATTTTATTATCTCAGAATACGAAGAATGAGAATGCACAAAATTAGGTATTTTTTTGACGGATCTATGTCTGACATTAAAAACATAATTTAAAAATATTTTTAGACACTTTGTATATAATAATATACGATGATAGCATTGTATTCTAGTTATATTTTTTCGGAAAAAGACGATCAAAACAAAAATAATCCGATCAAAGGTATGTATTACTGAAATATTAGATGTCTGCATCAGACTGTATGACAAATCACAATGGTTTGCTATCTAATGTATTGCCATACCCGAGGATGTGTAGAATGGCTGTTCATATTAATTATTCGTAAGAATAAAAGAAAGAGTTTATAAACTCAAAGTACTACTCTATAACTAAATGATAATGAATAGCTAGTCATAACGATTAGTTCTCGTTTCGCCGATTCACTCTCACACCGCCCTTCTGCCGTTGATATTCTTTGAAGTCATATTCTCGTTTCGCCGACTTTTTCGAAAAGTTGGTGAAACAAGAAGACACCGTCATAACATAAGAAACCGCCATAACAACTCCATCAGTAACAAGAAACCATTTGTATGAAAAGAGTTTGGCATATAATCATATCAAAAACAGTTGTTTTCACCTTACAGCACTCAACTAATGTAAGATTAGCAGAGTAACGAATTATAAAATGCACGACAGCAAACGTAGTGTATTGACAAAAGTGATAAAATGAGATTTAAAATATGGTTTTTTTTTGTTGCCAGAACTGCTACATTTCATAAAAGATTATAACAGGATTTATATCACAAATAGATTTTATTACAAATATTATAGTAGTTTTTTTATCGAAAAAGAAAGTAAATAGTTTCTTTAACGAAGCAGCTATCATCAGAAAGGAAGTCTTTACTGGAGGGAGTATCCGAAATTAGTCGTGTTTTCAACATCATAATCTTCCACTATGTATCCTCAAAATATGAGCATCTATGTGAAAAACTAGATGATGATTAAAACGCAATACTTTCTTCTTCTCTCAAACTAAATCTGTTTGACAAAAAGTAAATTATTGGTTCTATGTTTGCACTTACATGTAGTAGTCTATGTTGCCTTTAAATTTAAATTTTTAATAGGTTGCATGAATTTTAATAGTCTTTTAAACATTTTCATTCATTATTCATTTTGTATAGACGAACATAATATTTAAATGACAAATATAAAGTTATAATTTGTATAAACTTAAGACATATTTACCAAAGTTATTTGTTGTCGGTAAAATGAAACCGATCAAGTGCGAAACCTATTTACTGCTACCAGATATTTTGTATATTCTCGTATTACGCGAAAACTACCTTTTTTTGACTGTAGAATGAACAGAAAGTTGTAGTTGTTCACAATATTATACAGTTCAAAATAAGATTAAGATAATGAGACTCAAGAACATCAAGTGAATAAACGTGTGAAAAATTTTGACATTTTTAAACTAAGACCTTGACGTACTTGTTTTTAATAAAAACACAGGTCTGAACATCTTCTTTCAAAGCAGAATTTCGAAGAATCTCTAGAAAATCCCATCACGGTTCAAAAACTTTAAATATAAATATATTGGATGTTTTTATGGATACATGATATTCCAAAGAGTCCTCTCCGAAATGAGAGTCAAGAGATGTCTTGATTTTCAAGGTTTTAGGCGTGATATCAAATTTTTCATATGATATCGAACTGGTATTTAATAACTTTTGGCAGCCTTGAGTTAGGTGGAGCATAAGTTATTGATGACACTGAGTCTCATGACATGCATCTCTTTCAAAACCGATCCAAACTACTTCAGAATGTCATAATAAACTCGATTTAAGTTGTTGTCAACGATAACCTTGTGCAAAGAAACTGTTTCTATAGACTAGATTTTTAGCCAGATGTCTAAAAATCTTTGTGGTTTTAAACTCAATTTTTGTCTTCTTTCCAGTTTTTTATACTTACAAGGTACTACTGTGATTATATACTGAAATTTTCGTAAGCAGCTTGGGACGATTTTGAGGGAAATGTAATTTTTTTAATACTGATTGAAAATAGTCTAAGCCCGCTTAGTTTCGACAAAAACAGGTTTTCATTCGTTTTTTTAAGCAGTTTTTTGACAAATGAACATTTTCAAGAGACTTAGCATCACTGATAACTTATGTTCAATCGATTTTCGAGCTAGCTTGACGTATACGTGACATTTAACTACGTAGTTCAACCATGTTTGAAATATGCTGTTACATTATATACTAGAATTCTCCTTACTAACCCGTTAAAGATTCATCTGCTATTTTTGTCAAAAGACTGGATCCACCTCCAATAGTAGGCGATAGTGTTGTAGTTTTTGAACTGATTGATGATGAACGTAGAAGTAATGGTGGCGTTGTTTCACTCTCGGTTGTACCGAATCCTACTCGTGTCCTTGTTAATGTTGTTTGTTGTTGTGGTAATGGCGGCACCGGTTGTTGTCTGCGACGGTATTCACTTTCCAACACACCACGATATAATGTTAATTCAAATTTTAAATTTCGATCATATTCGGCTAAATTATTTAATTTTTCATATAATTGCTGTAATTCATTTTTATTTCGTTCAACTTCTAAATCTTTTTCTTGTAATGATTGTAAACGTTCATTTTGTATCTTTAATAAACTTGTTTCCATTTGATTTACTTTATCCACTAGTGTTTGATTATAATCGCTCAGTGTTGACAATTCTTGTTGAGTTAGAGACGCTTCTTCATGTAGTTCTTCAAATTTTGCTTGTCGTCGCTGATGCAGTACAGTCGCTGATGCAGTACTACCATCATCCAATGTGTCATTTACACTTACTTCAACAATTCTTAACATTTGTTTATATTCATTTTCTAATTGTTTCAATTGTAATTGATTCAAAACATTAAAATCTTCTCGAATACGTAATATGGAATCATTTAGACGCGATAACATAAATTCATTTGCGTCTGTTTGAATAGTTATTATATTATCGCGTTCTTCATTCAAAAATTCTCTGGTGGTTTGCATTAGTTTCACTTCTTCTTTTAGTGTTTGAATTTCATACTGCAATAAGAATACAAATAGAAATTCTTTACAGAGAATAGGATAAGACACGTTGGTGAAGTTATGAGTGAGCAGTTAGCTTAGTTTGTCTTAAGATATCAATATGGCGGCAGGATTTTTGTGGTTAATCAGTAAAAGGCAAGTGACTTACTTGGGTTTTAGCTTTATCAATTGACGATTTTTCTAATTGTATTAATAAATTATCTAATTTTTCCATAGCTTGTCGATTTTGTTGTTTTTCATTTTCAACATAAATTAATAAACTTTTCATTTGTTCATTTAATTTTGAAAATTCTTGTTTAACAAAACGTTCTTGTTTCCCTAAATTTGTTAACACTTTGTGTTGATCTTTTTCATTTTGTAACAAAAATCCAATACGTTGTTTCAATTCATCTTTTTCCATTTGTAAACGTTTTGCTTTTGATTTATGTCGATAACGATCGAGTACAGCATCATTTAGTAGAATAGAATTAACATGAAAATCAGCTGGTAATTTTTTAAGTAAATTTTCAATTGTAGAAACATATTCGTTTCTTAAATGTTCAATATTATCTATTTTTTGTCGATTTTCATCATCAATTGTACGTATATCACCTAAATAGGCTTGAAGATCATGATTTAATTGACGAAATTCATCTGTTTGTTGATTATACGATAATCGAGAACGCTCTGCACGATTAACGACATCATCGATTTGATTTGATAATAATTGTTCATTAATTGCTTCCCGATGACTCATGATTATAGTTATCTGAAAAAAGATGAAGATGAATACCTTATTCCATCGAAAATGTATCGTAGTTTTACTAAAAGTTCTAAAACATATCTGAGTTAACATCTCTCTCTTTTTAAGCTTTCAAACATCCGAATTTGATTAAAACTAGATAATGGAGATAGGATGTTTCTTACTGGTGATTTAATGCACATAGTCCTAGATGGTTTCCAAAATCTTGGTCTGTTTTACCACCGTTAATGGTGATCATTCTATACTTTATATTATTTTGACATTGAAACATCAACAGAATAATTCATTTAAACGAAGGATCTGTAATTATTACAGCATTGATTGGAGTTACTTTCATTACTTGTGTATTCTAATATTCCTACTTATCTGTCAGATAACATGATGTCATGTCTCTTGATAACAAAATAACTAATCTTTCTGAACTGATCACCAACGCACCAGAAACAGCATTCCTAATAAACTAATAACCATTAAGAAGCGCGATAAACCATGGTTTATAGAAGAGTTGAGAGGTTTGAGAAAAAAGTAGAATAGGCAGGCTTTTTGCCAATTATAATACAAAGAAGATAGATTTGAATAAACAAAAGTATGATAAAGCTGCACGTAAGTTTGAAGAAGTTTGCGTTCCAGCAATGGATAAATTCTACAATCAAGTGAACCAGAATCAAAGCAACTCTAAATCATTATATAACTAAGGCATGTTCTCGGTCGTGAGAAACAATCCGGAATCTCCGTTTTTTAAAATGCTAATAATGAATGGATATATGATTCAAAAAAGGCTGAAATACTTAATGAACATTTCGCTTCGATCTGTAGCGTGAATGATCAAGACGCTGATAAATCTATTTCCTTGGATTCTCTTCCTTTAGCTTAGTCTAAATTTGATATTATTGATAATTAAAGTCGTAAATTAAATTCTCATAAAGCGTGTAGTTCGAAGACTACCAGTCGTATGGTGGAGGGGTCTTATGGTGTAATTAATGATACTTTGACAGTCATTGCAATCAGTCTGTCTCTATCTTGTTTCAAAGCCGGATCCGTTAATCTTCTATTTAAAGATGGTAGATATTGACTTTCTAATAATTATCGTTCAGTAACATTACTTCACATTTTCTCGAAACCGATGGACCGCGTTGTTTTCACTCGTTTCTATAATTATTTAACAAAAATAACTTGCTGACTTGTTAACAATCTGGTTTTCGTCATAAAGATTCAATTGTAAATCCAAGAAGTCAAGATCTTCATTCAAGAAGTTCAACTAGGGATTACATAATACGTATATCCAATAATGATATATGGTGCAGTAATCTACTCTAGTACTAGTGCTAAAAATCTTGCAATGATTTGTTCACTTCGGTATAAATTTGCTCTTTTAGTAAGTGGTTCTTTGCGTCTAACTACTTGGCTTCAACAGCGTTTAACAGTCGGTTTCGAAATGCTTGCACTTCTCTATAACCTTTTAGGTTTCGTAATAAACCTATCTTTAGAGAGTAGTCGTTCGCAAGCTATTAACAAGCGACTCGGACTAAGATGCGGCGTTTTCTCTTTGAACAATGATCTCTTTATAAAAAAACCTTGCACCAGTAGGTATGCACCAGTATCGGTATACCGAATACCGAAAATACCGAACATCGGTATATACCGATACCGAAAATACCGACTTTTTTTGACTTGGAATTTTTTGGATTTTTTCATTTGAAATGAGGTATTTTAGCATCCTGGACAAGCAGAACGTATAAACAACACTCAGCTGTGTATTTTGAGCATGTGCAGATAGAAAGAAAAGAAAAAATTTGGCTTTAGAAAGCAAACAAAGCTCTTGTTTTCCGTCCCTGATTCATTCTGGGTATCCAGGACGCTAAAACATCTCATTTCAAATGAAAAAATCCAAAAAATTCCAAGTCAAAAAAGTCGGTATTTTCGGTATCGGTATATACCGAAGTTCGGTATTTTCGGTATCGGTATATACCGAAGTTCGGTATTGTCGGTATCGGTATTTTCGGTATCGGTATTTTCGGTATCGGTATTTCGGTATGAATACCGATACCGGTGCATACCTATGCACCAGATAAAAACTACCAATGTGGACAGAAAGAAATAATTTAGACACTACTTGATAAAATTTTCTCTCTATGACATTCAACGAGCTGTGCGGCTTATCCACGTAACGCGACACTTCGCTGATTAAGTATTTTTTCAAAAGTAAACAAAACCGTTTATGCAAGGTTGTAGAGTATAGTCGAAAGTATCAGAAAATGACTTTTCTTTTTTTTTCAAGTGAGTTCTGTGAGCCGTCATATGGTGTACAATAAGTAGAACGAACCATCTTGTTCGTCACATCTATTGTGCTCCTGTTTTCAAATTGATAGTGCGACTCACTGTTTTGCTCCAACAAAAGATAAGAAATGGTATCTAAACTATCGAGTACGGTCTTTCTTTTGACAAGCTGGAATGAAGCCTTTTCGTTTCTTCCTCACTGAGACAATACTTGATAATTTTGCCGGTTACAGCGTTACCAAAAGATCGAAACTCGATAATTTATACATATTCGGAATCGCCGTGAAATTCTGCGTCTGATGAATGATGTCTTAGCTGTGTAAGTCGAAAAGATATCTAGCTCAAGATCTAAAAAGTCTATTCAGTCGAATTCTAACTGATTTGAAGTGAGAATACGCAAGGGGAAAAAAAAGTATGTTACAGCATTATCGAAAATGTCACAGCGTTACTTTAGTAAATTGGGTTTCATAAACAAGGTAAAGGGCTCGGAAAAAAATTCTTTTTAGCAAAAGAAAGCTCGTTAGATCCTCTATAAACCTTGCTCGAGACAATTTTTATTAGCTCTTCTAAATTCGTAGGAATTTGCACTTTAATGAGGATTAGTTAGAATTTAGGGCCTTTTTATGTCACAGCATTACCGGTCTAAAAAGGTTTTCTGGAAGCTCAAGTCTTTAACCAAAAATCTTCGTTTTTATACTCAAATTAGAGTAAGAAGAGTCGCGTCGAATGGCATAAAAACAAACTTTCTAGCTCTTATAGTTTTCGAGAAAACCCTAAATTAATGTCACAGCCTTACCTGTGGACAAGCCTTGTGCTTCTTAAAACAATTGACGATTCGATACCTTATGCAGACCTTTCTTTAAATTCTCTAGTTCTTTTAAATCATTGTTTTCAAAGCGATCCTTACTGCATTGTGTACCTTGCACTCGTTAGATTTCTCGAGGACAGTTTACGATTTGAAGTGTAGACATTACTGTATTTTCACAACATGCTTCATCTCATCTGTCTCTTACTTCTTTTATATTGTATATTTTGTTTCTTTTTTCTTCTTCTTTTTCTATTTAACATACCACATACTGTTCAATTTTGCTGTTAAATAACTCGATGCAATGGCTTCGGTCGCTTCCATGTTATTTACAGTGTATCCTTTAACTTTCTCTAAATATAATAGCTTAAACAAAAAAAATTAGGTGAATTTTACAGATCATTAACGATAACTATCAATCATCTATAGTTAGTTTAATGGAGGGGAAAAAAATCGATAAAAACCACAAAAGCAGAAATTTATATAAAATATAGCGAATAAAAAATATAGGTGAAAAGTACTTAACTAAAAAAACATCTTTATTTGTGTGCATTGTTAATTTTTTCCAATGCACGTATGTAAAACAGACGCGTTTATACGATTACCAGTATTATTATTATTATTATTTTGATTGACAAAATTTATGCATAAGAGAGATCAAATTACAAAAAAATAGCTTTTTTGCTCTTGCATATAACTACACACTTCTGAAAAAATACTTTTACCTTTTCTTAAAAAAGAAGAAACTTCAAAAAACAGAATGAACAAATTTCAAATCAAATATAGATCATTTAAAAATTAATGTCAACTGCAATCATATGTCTAAGAAAAGAAGTTTGCTTTTTTTTTTCTTCTTTTCATTACCTTGATTTTTTCTTTCTCTTTTTTTTTATATTGTAAACTTTGTCAAGTAAAAAACGTAGCTCTGATTAAACATTCATTTATTGCGTATAAAAAAGATTTTATACTAGGGAGATTTCAAATAATGAGAAGGATGATTGACAACGATTTTGATTGCCACCTTCTTCGTTCAGTTATGAATCATAAACTATCTTATTTCTCTTCTGTTTTTCTTTACTCCGAATAGGAATATATCACACAAATTAAGGGCCCTACAGAAATAGTGATTTTCCGTCAAAAAATCAGTTTTGAGATACGCACATCGACAGATAGTCTGAAGTGTCTACTTTCAGAATCTGTATCGTTTTCGGTTACAAAAGTGTTTTATCACGAATTTTGAGCAAATTTTCTAGGAGCCTCGAAAAACCGGGTGTTTCAATAATAGTTTTTTTCTGGATACTTATGCAATTATAATTTTTCTAGACACACAGATTTGTAGACAAACTTTTCTGATCAAAATAAGACCTCGCACAACTCTGTATGACGTTGCATCAAAACGTTGCAGACATTTTCCTAAAAGTCCTAAAATTGACTATTTTATACAGCGTTTAATATAGCGTTTTCTCTGTATAAGAGTTACATCTGAAATATTTCTCAAGATTTTTAATATCGGTTTGTCGTAGAGAATTTATTCTTTTTTTGTATAAAAGAGTACAAGAAACTACATGGACTGACCGGCGTCGATTTTGAATTAGGTCTTAATTTTTTGTCAAACTGAGGATTTTTAGAAAACTCGAAAGGATTTTTCAGGTTTTGGAGGTTGTTGGTTGCCTGAAAAATCAACAAAGGCTTAACGGAAAAATCGACGCGGGTCAGTCCATGTAGTTAGGTGTCTAGTTGAAAATAAAACAAACCCGGACTCTCCAGCTTGAACTATATTAAAAAATCTTGGGAAAACATTCGGATCCTTTTTGGACGTTGATCTCTGGAAAACTCCTAAACCGTAAAACTTGGAGACAAAAATTTTTTTCATTACTGTAAATCATTAAACCTAACATTTATGGAAAATTTC